GCAACTTTAATTTTTCCATGCAGTACCACGATTTATTTGGTTTATGCCATTTACAGCTTATTTTCCCATTTTCTGTTATCTAGCAAGTGTTCAAGTGCAAACCCAGAGAACTTTGAATTTCCCAATTAAATTCCAAACAAAATACTTCGAAAGCAAGCATTTTCCTCATAGAACTCAGATGCTTTAAGCTAATCTGATGATGCTTTGGGGACCTTTGGAATGTTTGGAATTGCCAAGACTTATGTATTGAGTGAGAAACCCGGGTTCACACCTTGTAGTTTGAGAAAGGAGAGAGTGGAATGTGTATTTCAGAGGCTTTAGCAGATTGGGCCAACTCTTGGGCTAAATAGTACAGATCATAGGGACTCTTGACAAGCAAAATCTTAATAGTTAAGATCCATGGTGTTAAATCAAAGTGAATTTTGGTACTAGATAATGAAGCCTGTGATCCAGGAGATTTTCCTTTCTGTGCTAGGCCGTGGGTAGGTTGTACAGTTTTGCTCCTTGCCAGGAAGATGCATTTTTCTTTGGTTATTTCTTAAATTTCAGTCTTGGAAAGAATGGTACTTTTAAACAACCAGCATTCCTTGAAATTACCTATTTCAAATGAAAAATCAGTACTCCCATGTGTAACATGGAATGATCCTTAATGCTTTTTACTGGAACTTACTGACATACAGAGCAGAACAGTCGACTTTAAACTGTAGAGCAATATTCTGCAAGTCCAATCAAAGAACTGTATTTCAGGGTGAGAATAGTATCAGTATTTCTGTTCTTGGAAAACATCTATGGATGTTTTATGATGTGGTAGGAGTTCATAAGTAGAATTGCTAGGACAGATGCATCACTACACTGGAAACGCAGAAAAATTTGCATCATGAAGTTGTGGGAGGCTTTTCCTTCATGTGGGATGAGAGAGGGCAAAGACTAAACCCAAAGTCCTGCCTCTGTCAATTTTGTATCAGTTAGATTTATGGTATCTGATTCGTCCTTCCCTGCCAAGCTCCTCACTTGCTTTAGGAGCTGTTTTCTGTTTATCAGATTGGAAAGAGTCCTGTCTGACCTCTCTGATCTGCCAGTCATCTCTTAGAACTGTTCTGAAACCTAGAGGCTATCTTAGATGGTGGAGCTCAGAGTGACATTAAAAGAAGCCATGCAATTACAAGCTTACATAAAGTTCCTCTAAATAAGCGTTTCTCTCTGATTCATTGTGCTAATTTTACTCACTTGTGTGTGCTGAGATAATAATTTATTTCATTGCTTTGTCTACATTATTGTATTGAGAGTTCCCTCCCACTGCCACTCCAACAGTATATTTGATTTATTGGACCCACTGATGTTTCCTATTAAGTGTTTTTGATGAGCAAGTTGGGCCACATTGATAAATGCAATTCAGAAACAATGTGTGTTTATTGTGTTTTGTTGGGGTTGGTTTTTTTTGTTAACCAGACACGAGATTTAATTATCTGTTAGTGTTACTTTACTGGTACAGAAGCATGTGCAACTGTTACCCTGAGAAGAGCAAGAGACAGCTGGAAAGTATGGAACTAAAGGGGAGGTGGGAAAGGTGGCAGCATTGGTCACTTTGGAAAGTTTTCTTTCAACCCAGCATCCCAAACATTAGACTGAAAAAGACATTAAAACCAATATTGCATGAGTATTAGTGGAAAGACAAGACTCTCCCTCTCCTAACCATTCTATGATCCTTCATGATAAGGAGTTGTAAGGATTCTTCACAAGTGCCACATCCACGAGTAATTCTTTTCCAGGTATTTAATGCTGTGTTGCTGAATTCAGCTGCCTTGGAGAGAGCTGCAGATGGCAGTCACTGCTTTTACGTTTTGAGGGTTTCTTCATTTTGAGTGAGACAGTAAGTTGAGTAAGATAGTAAAAGAATAAAGTTTTTCTCTAGGTCTTAATAAAGGTTTTTACTTTTCTCCCAGACAACTCTTTGGATAAGTACTAAAGATCTTAAATGCAGGTTTTGAGAGGCCAGTGTTATGAGCAGGTAGAGCAGTAAGACTTTGTAACAACCTCCATTTCTGGAGGCGCTTCTTTGCTGAGTCTTAGTGACAAAAAGGACCGAGCTTACCCTAGGATTTTAAGAGCACATATTTCTAATAGAACTTGGCAGTTCAAGGGCTAAAGAAGCATTTTAATCTTTTGTGCCCACCCAGTCTCTATACAAATGTAAATATGTCTGTCTTTAACAATTTGCCAAGAAATGTGGTTTTAATTTGTTAGCAGCGATCCCACCTCCCCGCAGCTCTTTCAGAGTCAAGTCACAAGTCTGGCGGGGCTTTGACGTTTTTCTCTGTCATGGTGTCATTGTTTATATGATGTCTGCTTCTGCTGTCCTCCTTTTTATGCCTAGAATATTTTTCTTTAATTATTTCACTGCCTAAAAGGAATTTGGGATTACTAGACAGGATGGGAGCAGATTAGCTTTTTTTTTTTCTTTCTTTGACAAGTCCCAAAGTTCCCATAGGAAATAAATAGTATTCCCAAAACAGGCAGTGTTGTTTTATTTTTTTTAATTAACTAAAATTATTAAGTCTAATAAAGAAAATAAAGGAAGTATCACCAATAATGGCTGAGTGTCTTAGTAGTATATGGGGTGCCCATTGTTGTTATTTATGACTCTCTCTGCCTTCTATTGTGGACTTATTCCAGCCTTAGGGAGTTTACATCACTCCTAATAGCAAAAGGCTCTCTGGTTCCCACAGAGTCTTTCAAAGACTGACTCATATGCCTTATGTTAATTGTTCAGCTCTCAAAATACAGCACTTACAGGGTGTGGTTCCGAGGGGAAAATCTACTGTACTTAGAGGGCATGTTCAGAAGTGTTTCACATATAAATCATTTTGATTTTTAATTTTTTTAATGCCTTAACCCTTTTCTGTCACTGCTTTATGCGATAAGTTACTTGAAACCAAAATAAAAGGTTGATGATGGCGTAGTCGGAATGTGTTACCCTACAACTCTGGACCATTAACTCCAGTCTGACTCAACTCACAAGTGACAGAGCTTCGTCATCTTTGTATCCTCCAGGGTCTGTTCTTGACACCCTGGCATGACGGTACACTCCGGGCAACAATCATGCACTGTTCATAATCAGATGCAAGTTAGAACTGAGGTTTCTTCCTTATCTGCAATAGTGAGTACCTGTGGACAGGAGCTGTCCCCAGCCCTCTGGATTTTGTACATCACATTGCTTACCACATGTACCAGAGTTGCCTTAGTGGAGTGGCAATCCTATCATGATCCCCTGTGTGGAGACTTGAAGAAGATTTAGTAGAATTAGACTTACTGGTTACCATAAAGCAGAAACTCAAATGCTTCTCCTGTTCTCTGGCTAAGTAAGAGTGCTCTCCAGCTGCTTTGCAGCAGGATTGTGCAAGATCCTTCAGGCTGAGTTGTGCGAATGTTACTGGAAATTCAAATAGTTTCTACAGTTGTTACAGTTAAGAGTGTCTTCTCTTAAAATTAGCAGAGCTCTCAAGTACTTAATGATGCTCCTTTTTTGAATAGTTTACAAAATATGATGAAAACGTATTTAGTCAAATTAGGGGAGCCCATACCATTAACTAAAATAGAAGCAGCAATTAATCCCTCAGAATAAACTAGTTAGGCTTGATTTCTGAGGTTGAAATCACACTGCATGTATGTCCCATGTGTTTTCTGCCTGCTATAAACACATGTTGCGCCATTAGTGGACAGAACTTGCATCTATCAATACACACAAAGACGTCTGCATAATTTGCCTCAAAGGATGGCTGAGAATAGCTGTAATAAGGTCTTTCTGAAACTGTCAAAATAGCTTGATTTCATTGCCTGACTACCCTTTTTCTGCTTAGAAAACAGGAAGTTGTTTTGACTGGCTTAGTCTTCTGGAAAGAGCAGTGAGGTTTATCCCCTCTCCTTTAAAACAGAAATACAGATAAAAATGGGCAGGGCTTCAGTGCCTTTAAGTGACAGGTTTAGAGGTGTTCCAGGCAGCGGTCATGTACGTGCTTTGGTCTTGTGCCTCTGCAGTCTTTCTCTACTTCCTTCGCTTCTTTTGTGCCATCTGGTTCATGTGCCAGCTTCACAGTGTGGAGCAAGGGTATAAATAAGCACTGCCTCCATTTGATGAGCTCCAGTCAGAAGTTGCGTCATGCAGGCTGATGGAGAAGAGCGATATCAAGAAAAGGAGATGCACAAAGCCCCTTCTCTAATGCTGCCACATTTTTTTCTCTCCATAGCCTCTGAAGTAGTACTTTTATTTGAGTATATAGTTTTTAATACTGAAGTCGGAAACTGGCCCTGCTCTGACTGAGATTGTTTCATTGTGAAAGGAAACACTCACAGCTTGAAGAAAAAGAGCATTTTCCTTCCCTCCCTCTTGCCTCGATCTCATATTGTGTAAAACCATGGTGCTGCTGTTAGCTGAGACCAGAAAGAATTCTCTTGTTGTCCTGTAGTAGCCAACCACTCCAAGCTGTGAGCATTTGAAAGTTAGTATTAGAAGTTTTAACCCTTGCCTCCTGAGATGTGTAAATAAACTCTGCCTATTTTTTTGTAAGTATGGAAAATCATGGGAATTCTTCTGAGAATAAGTGTATAGACCACTGCGCCAGTCAGTCTCTTCAGAAAAAAAGCTGACAAACATGCTCCTGTCTGCAAGAGAGATTCCTGGCATTTGTCACAGTTTGAGCCACAAAGATGTCAAATATTTGCCAACAGTTTCCTCAGAGGGTTTGGAAAGCTACATCCTTTACATTACAGTCTTGTTTGTTTGCGGGATAATTTAGCATATGAAATACGTTTGTTGGGAGTCTGACAGGGGAGGGAACTTACTAGACACCCCAATATTAAAAGATGAAAAATAATTCTCTTAGACTGCTCAGATCAAAATAAGAAAGAACATCTGTAAGTCTTAGTATTAGAAATGGAGCTTTATGTTGAATAATCATAGCTTGGTGTGTCATGTTTTAAACCTGTGTTTTCTTTTGGAGCAGAAAGAAGAACTTTCCAATGGGACGTCTGAATATTTTACTGAATCTGCTGAGAACAAGAAGGTGGAGATTAGTCTGAATGAACAAATAAAGCTGGGCATCTTGAAAGAAATGTATGTCACTCTTCTTTCTAAGGTGTTAAATTTATAGTCTGGTAAAATTTGGATAAATAGAATCTAGCCCATGTAATACAATTTCAGATAATATGATCTCCTTTACAAAATATTTTTTCAGATTACTAAGAGACTACTTACTCCGGTGTGGATGAGCACATAAAATGATCATTGTTGTTTTGTATGGCATGAAAAAAGCTATTACAACCCACATAGATATCTCACATAGCGCTAGGCAGAATCAAAACAGGGTGTTTTTTTCCTTGAATGAAGCCCTGAGCCAAAATAAATATGTGATGTTTGAATCTGGTGCAAAACACTTTGCAGATATATTTTTTTGCTCATTGTGACAGTCTGCACTGTACCATGGTACTAGTCTGGATCTTTGCTCACAGTTAAAAGGTGTCCCTGGTGTAGTGGATGGGCAGAGTTAATTGATCAGCTGAACATTGCACTGGTCCTCTGCTGTACCAGGATGCTATTTCTGTGCAAGTTGCCAGTAGCCCCAAATCAACTACAGGATCAGGGATTTGCTGTGAACCCTGGCAGCTTTTCTTTTTACCTATGTTGTCTCATCTGTGTTGTCTTTAGAAATGAGATTAGATTTGGAGGTATGCCAGCTTTGCCTGACTCACAAGAGTCCTCTTTTAGATGAGTTAGATACGCTGTTCAGCAGCAGCAGAGCAGCAGAGAGTGGTCTCAGCCTGGGTTAATGTGTAGTAATATCTGTAGACTGAAAATACAGCTTCAGGACTTGTGCATAAAGTTAATATTACAGCCTGTGAGAAATGTAGATACACAGGTAACACACTGCTGAGGAGTGTTTATGTGCTGACACTCCATCAGGTCCCTTGTGATCCCATTTTCCTATATAATTCCTTTTAGAATATCATCTACTTGCATTACCTAAGTCCTTGCAGATGAACGGGCTTGATACTAGATGAGTAGTGGTTAACTTTAAAGTAATGCTTTGAAATAGCCTGGGAAAAATTCCTGAGGAACATTCTAAAACAGGGATTAGAAATTCTCACAGAGAGAGAGGCACATACTGCCTCTCCCTGCCTGCCCCCCTGTATTCTTTAGATACACATTATGCATCTGAATATATGGGAATGGTTTGAAATCGTTCAGGCACTTATGAAATGCTATTTTATCTAGCCAGTTTGGGAAGGAATTCAATATACTTATGCTGTGTTGACCTTTAACATCTGTAATGAATCTAGTTCTGCCTCTTGGAATAGAATGCGAACTCCTTCCTGGCTTAGTCATTAATAAATAGGGTTCCCCTAGTGCAGTGGAAAATCAGATGGATAACACTTGATATTATCCACACTAGACAAACATTATTGCTTGTCAAGATGATATACAGGAGATTTTTCCATGTTTGGAAAGAGGGTTGTCCTAGTGGTGCTTCAGAGGCTGTAAGAAGGGAAGATTGAAAATTAAGAACAAAATTCCTTTTTATTGCAGCGTGAAAAGGACAAACCTAAAGAAAAGTAACACAAGCAAACCTCAGATCAGCAAGGACTCCAAGGTGTCCCTTGGCTCAGTGGACTCGCAGACGGGGAACAGAAAGACTGACCGTCAGACTTCTCTCAGCCCTCAATCTAAAGTGACGGGTAGGAGGAGTCCAGGACTGCTAAAGGACTGCACAAATACAATTGAGAGCAACTTCGAGCTTCCTGTTTTAGAGCTGGAAAATTATATTAATCAGAGACAGACAGATGGTGTTAGCAGCCAGCAAAAACCTCACTCTGTGGAGTGGTTCGAGTTGAGTCTTCTGAGCGAGAACCCTCCTTGTAGCTCTGAGTCAGCACTGCTAGGTCCAAAGGAAAGTCAAAAAGTGACCAAAACACAGGCTCAACAAAAGACCTGTGCTCCAGAAGAAAAGCTGGAGCATTTTGGAAAAGTATCCTCTGAAGGGACTCCTTTAATTCCTAGCAATACAGGGATGAGTAAGCGTGATGATGGTTGTTTAGGTCCATTCTTGGAGGAGGAGACCCCACTTAATTCTGGGTTGTTTTCTAAGCGAGACATGACAAAGGCTGCATCTGATGAGGAGTCACTGAGGAAAAACCTCTCCCAGCCTCTTTCTGTGAGGAGCAGTATAGCACAGACAAGCCAAAATGAGCCAACCTCAACCCCTGAAGATGTGATGCCACCATCATGTATAGAGCTGCAGCCTGTGCCCTCAGAGAAGCTTAGCCAGAAAAGGAAAAAAGAAGTTGAAAATGGTCTCAGGAAGTTAAAACTCCGAAGGCTTAAAAAGTCATAAAGTCTGAAATACTACCTTGACAGCGTGGGTGGACAGCCAAGCTTGTGTTTGGAAAGGATATGCAAAATGTAGGAAGCAATTCAAAACAAAAATAATCAAAATACGCAGTAAAAATGAGATAAAACTGTTAAAGAAAATTTAGGTAACTGAGTATCTTAGTCTTAATTCTAATGAAGGTAATTCTTTAGGGATTAGACATTAATATTGTACGAATGAGGGTAGTATTTATAGAAAGAAAAATCTCTTACACAGTAATATTTACGAAGCAAAATTTTAGATGTGTGTATGTTTCAGTACTGTTAAAAAGTCGTATCAGCTGATGACAGCCAAAGTTAAATCCACTTTTGTGATCTGTTAGCAGCTGCAGTGATTCAGTGTTTTGCTTGTTTCAGGACACTGTTTTAGTAAAAATTAATTCTTCCTTTCTCTCTGCATTAGGTTGATGTTTATTCACATGATCTTTACAAGTAAGACAAACTGAGCTCATTTCAGATAAAACTTTAACCAGGATTGAATGTTGCTAGTACTTTTCAGCAGGGTTTCAAAATAACGACAGTTTCTGCTTGTGCAGTTTTGATGTGAATGTTTATTCCTAGCCCAGGCTGTGGATACAACTGATCGTGCATTCAGCCTTTGGAGAAACGAATGTTGTTTTATATATGCAGTCACATGGATGTGCAGACCTTGCTGTTGGGAAGAGGTCTTTATATGTAAACTTGTTACTGTAAGATAGAGGTAATTTTTAATTGCACAGTGTTTTTTCATACTGCTTTTGTAACATATATGTGAATTACCTAAGGAAATGTAACTTTTCATTTTATGCTTATCTTTTTATAATTTAGAATAAAATTATAAGCAATTTTATCATTCTCTTCAAATCATTGTGACCACAGATACTTTACGTGAAGCAATTTTGGACAATCCTACTGACATATCCTCATTTAGTTTCAGAAGGATATTCACATCCACAAGCGTTTCGAGTTGGTAGTGCAATGCAGGTCCTTAACAGTTAGCAGCTCGGCAGTTGACAGCAAGACACTGCTAATGGAACAGCACCTTTCTGCTGTAAATACTTTCTTATTTTGCTGTAAGTAAAAAAGGTTCTGCATGCCTTCCAGAAGACATTTTCTCTTTTTAATTTCAGCCTGTTTGCATGATGTATCTCACAGGGTTTGCAGTCAGGTTGCTCCTGCTTACTAGTCTTCAGGCTCTGCAGAAAGGACTTTCTTAGTAACAGCAAAACCGAGGCTGCAAATGAACCTGGGTTTGGAGGCAGTATAGCCTGAGGTATGTTTGCTGTTGTCTCTTCCATGGGCTTGAGATCCTGGGCCAGGAAGAGAGTAAAAAGCAACTTTTTGATGGACTTAAAATTTTGAGATATAAGGACATTTAATTAAGAATTTATCAGAAAAATAAGAGTAAACTTAACCATTCTATGATTCTATTTAAAATAAGATAACGTGATAGTGTATATTAAGGTCTTAGCATAGATTTTCTGGGGAGCTTCTTTAAGTTCTTACTGTAAAATAACTGATAAAAAATGCTAGAAGCACATATTCCAGACTGCAATTTTAAATTACCATTATTTCTCCTTTGCTTTTACTTGGATCTTTGTAATGATGCTCTTGGTTGTAACACATACCTACAGGAGAGGTTTGGATGATTATGCAGTAACAGACACAGATTAAGTTTGTAAAATCATTTACTTCTATTTTGTTGTGGTTAAGAAGAAGACCTTATGCTTGATTTTTCAAGCAAGTGAATGCAGTGATTATATCTGTGAACACTGTGGATGGTCTTGAGCAAGTATGCCCCAAATTATTACTGTGAAGAGTTTGGGATTCTGATGATTCCTTTTTTCTTCCTCTCCTCCTAATCCGTTTAACTCAAGTATTAGAAATCAAAGGGCAACCACATAGAGTTTGGTATCATCACATACTGTTATTGGATATTTAAATCACCTCACTGATAGTGTGGTAACATCCTCCTTTTAACACAGTTACAATCATAGAATTGTTTGGGTTGGAAAGGGCATTAAGGTCATCTAGTCCCAATGCCCCTGCCATGGGCAGGGACACCTCACAGTAAGCCATGGCACCCAAGACTCCATCCAACCTGGCCTTGACACTGAGAGGGATGGAGCATTCACAACTTCCTTGGGCAACCCATTCCAGTGCCTCACCACCCTTGCAGTAAAGAACTTCCTCCTTATATCTAGCCTAAACTTCCCCTGTTTAAGTTTGAACTCATTACCCCTTGTCCTATCACTACAGTCCCTTTTGACGAGTCCAAGTTGTGGTGCAACAGTTAGAAATGTTAGGCTAGATGTATTAAAGGTGTTAAGAGCCTAGAAAGTGAGAACAAATGCAAGGGGACTTTTCAGAGGTGCATAGTTGCCTCATTCTTGCTGTAATTATTGACCTGTTCGGTTCCTAGGCTCTTTATATCTGTGTATTTAGAGCTTATTTATATGTTAAAGTTGCCTCTTGGATCCTCAGAAATGCTATTACTCAGGGAAAAAGCTTTGAATTCATGATAATTTCTGGATTTGAGATGGTGTCACTGCTTGAAATCATTCTTTAGTCTCGGCAGCAGGACTATGAAAGTTTCCCATTTGCAACCCTTATGGGTGTTTATGTGATGTGTGACATCCAGGCTGGGTTGTTGCCATGTATCTCTGTTCTCGCTGTACTTGAAGCCCGAGGTTGTCTTCTCACCCTTTGCATTGTCGACAATCCGCCTGCACCCAGGTGACTGGCAGTGCGTGATCTCACGTGCTTTTGAACCACAAACCTGAAGATGCTGGAACCAGACTGGGAGGGGAGAAGGAAAGAAGCTGGAAACTGAGCTGGAGTCAAATTAGTTTGCAGGTCTTGACTGTGGCTTTGTATTACCAGTTTGCTTCTGAGCAGCATTCATGTAACTTTCTCTTAAAAGTATAAGATATTTAAGGCTCTGTTCTGTTCTGAAACTGCCACTGAAGTACAGAAACCACTTCTTTGGTTTTTTGTTTTTTTTTTTTAATCTTGTGTTTGATATGCTGTTGCTTTTTTTTTCATTTTCAGAGCTTCTTTGAGCTCTGCAATATGTGGAGATCCGACACTGGCTGAAGCTACCATCGAAAAATACATGTTTGTCTTGAAGAGAAGTAACTGTCTGTTCCAAGCCAGCTCTGTCATTGGTTTGGGTTCTTAATGAATCATCTGGTTAATTTGGTCTGTGCTGTTTGCTGATAGTGCAGCAGCCCTTTCCTACCAAGACATTTTCTAATATGTGCAGACTATCCATTATTTGTACATCTGAGTAGTTAAAATACTTCAATGAAATTCTGTCTTCAAACGCACATCAAAAGCTGGACCAGCTTTTACCTATTTATTTATAAAGAGGAAGCAGGCTGATGTAAAATCTCCCCTAGACAGTGTTGATCAGTCGGAAGGTTTTAACTATCACAGGAGTTAACTGTGAGTAACAAGCTTTGCTCTCTCTCTGGTGTTACCAGTCAGGTTGTAGTTCTGCTCACCAGGGTCCAAAGTGTATGTTAGCGTGTTAGTACAATTGCACAGCACCATTTCTGGGTTACACTTGACTCGAAGGACTTCAAAAGCACCTATTTCTAACCAAAAAGAAGAACATTCAGAACCCAAAGTTGTGATGAGTGAAGTATTAAGTAGCCTTCTGAAGGTGTTTATTTTGTCAGTGTGAACTTCTTTCATTCCCACTATTCTGGACGTGGGCCACATTGCCTGGGTCTGAATTGACCTTTTATATTACCATCTCATTGGCTTTTGATAGGAAAATGGGTACTTTCTAAGGAAAAAGATGGATTGTTTGCAATTGGAATATGAAGGATGTAAAACATAGTTAGACTGTCCCAGATTCCATGTTAGGAGTAGTTATCTCCTTGCCTATACCACTATTAATAGAAGGTTTCATACTGTATTAAACACTCTATTGCAGGCTTGAGCAGACAGAGTTAATAGTATCAAGAGGCTTTTAGCCAGCAGTGGGACGTGTGGGTTGGCCTCAGAAATTAGCTTTAATAAAAGGCACTCCTCGCTTCTTTGCTTTCTGCTCTTTTCTCCTCTAATAAGCATTAAATAGCATCCAAACCCCGATGTGAAGAAGATGCTGGCTGGAGAAACGGCAGCACATGGAGCCTTTCATCAAAGGGATATCAAAGCATTCTGCAGCTGAACCTGGGAGGGATATGAATATGCTTATTTTGACAGTTGTGCAGCACTGAGGGTAAGCAATTCCTTCCAGGTAAGCTGGGGAAGGAACTTGTGCTGCAAATCCTTCATCAACTCACTCAAGTGTTCTTGAACATGGTTCTCCCATCTTGTTCCCCTTTTTTTTCCCAGATAATTAAAATGGAATCTGTCAGCACATGACCTTACCCTTTCCACAGTAGCCATAATGAGACATTTTTAGATGGGGACTTCTTGTTTGTTTGGTGTTGGCTGATGCTGAGAAATCATAGAAGTGTTGTGAAGATGATGTATTGTCACAGGCATTCCACCTAAAACCTGGAAATTACCCAGGGAATTAATGTCCACCATCCCATCTCCTTTACTGTCCACATAAATAATTCCAGAGCTGGGAACTGGTTCCTGAGAGACCTGATGCTGCACCTTTTTTGAATGAGAATTTCACTGATTTGCTCCCATTCTGTCAGTTAAATCCTTTAGTGTAGCGGAGACGGACAACCCCAGCAGCAGGAACTGCTAATGCAGCTCCATAACTGCTTCATTTGCTGCCACAATAATTATCTTTTTAATTTGTGCATCAGATCTTTAAAAGAAAAGTGTCTTGAGCTGTAATTCTAGAGATGGGCATTCCCCTTTTTAATATTAATATGATCTCATGGGGCTAGCATGAAAAGAGTAGAGATGTATTCTCCACCCTGTAGAGAAACTGGTAGGGACAATTTGCACATCACAGAGAATGCGCTCGCTGGAAGAGCTGGGCTGTGGCTGGAGCTGGAGCTTGGGTCTGATGCTCTGTCTGATACCGCATTGCTCCAGTGCTAACCTGAACCTCCAGCCAGGGGCCAACAGAACAGACAGAACCTTCACTGCCTTCTTCCTCCTCACCCCCAGAAGTTGGAGTTAGCCACTGGTGTCAATACTGAAAAAGAGGAAGCTGAAAAAAATCCTGTATTTAACTGTTCTTGCTCCATTTCAAAGGGAGGGGGGAGAGCTTATGCAATCACTTCCATCTTCTGGGGAGGAAAAGGCTGAATCTGGTACTTCCCTCGTCAGAACTTCTCATCTTTGCATACACTAATAAAGGCATTGAGCCTCTGCCCTGTGACTTGTTCCAGAGGGACTCTGCCAAAGGCAGGGGTGGTGATGAAAGCCCCTGGAGAGCTGAGCCCCCTTAGCCTGATAGCTGCAGAGGTGAAGCTGAGCCATACAGAAAGTGTGACCTCCTGCATTCCCTAGCTTGGTGAAGAGCCAATTGATAATATTAACCATTACTATGCAGGTGTGTTGACTGCTCTAAGTGCGTCTTCAGTGGAAAGGCAAATAGCTTCCACAGCAGAATTGCTTGAAGAATCTAGTCTCATGTTTAAGCTCTACCTGGTTTATATTTCTCACTTGCTAGGCTTCAGGTGCACAAGCACTTGCTGGCTGTCCTTTGCTCCTATTAGCAATGCAGAAATAGCTGTTCCCAAAGCTCTTCTCTGAGTGACAAGGGTGTATTGGCATCAAGGCTGATGTAAGGTGCACCATCAGCACCTTTTGCAAGTTACCTCTGCTTAAGATGGGCCCTCTCGGTGCGGGGGTGCAGAGGCTTTGATGTGGCTATGTTCAGCTCCAGTTGAACCAAACCCAGATTCAACAGGCTCCATTAGCTGTAGCTAGAGCAAAGCTGAGGGTGCTCAGGAGAGCAATTTCATCATTATTGTTTTGTAAAGCTCCCATGTTTAAATGGCAGCTCAGGAAGCACACATTTTCCTAGTTCTTAGATGAATAAGGATCCAAAGAACACACGCTAACAGCAGGAAACGTCTCCTGACTAAACAGAATGTGTCTTCCCAGAGCAGCGAGATGTGAACTGGCAAAGTTTAAGTTCCACAAAATTAATATTGTAACGGGAAGGCCTTCAGCTTCATGTGTCTATTTCCGTGGCAGTGGAAAACAGTTCATACACCAATGCCCAGCTTGGTGGCGGTTCCAGGTTTTGGAAGCCTGGTTTGGGGTTACATTCATTCACCAGTGTAAAATTTGAAGCTACCACTGACATGTGAGGATGTAATTTAAAGATATTACAGCAATTTCACAGCAGTCTCTTCCCTTCCCTTGTGTGGTTGTGGGTTTATAACACTGGGAGGTGGCAATGGAAATGAGTTGTATGGAGAAACTCCACCGTAACAAAACCTCTGCACAGTCAGTGCAGTGCTTCACAGCACAGGAAGGGCTGGAAATACATAAATGAATGCTGCACTGAGGCTTTGACAAGTCTGTAGGAGCCCAGGTTTTGCTGTACATGGAGCCTCTAGAGACCTAAACAGATTTATCCCTATGTTAAATGATGAAGTCTGTATTTACAATTCACCTCCATAGGTTTCCACTGTAGCCTGACAAATACCAGCTCCCAGGACTAGCAAAAGCCCCGATTTTTTTATTAGCCTTATAGAAGACAGATTTATTCCTATAAATTCAGGTAAAAATGTTTCAGTCATTTAGAAGAGGTAGTTGGTTTCTGCATCATTGGGGACCTACATGAACAGTAGACATCAGGATGATGGTTAATTCAACACTGTTGACAGGAAAGCATCTAGTTAATTCACTCTGTACTTCTGAGGCAGGTGGAAGGTTCTGTTACCTTTTAAAAGGCACTTTTGGACACTACACGTCAAGGAAAAAGGAAAACAAATACTCCTGGGATTTGTTCGAGGAATTGTGGAAGCGGTCAGATGAAGCTAATGTTGTTGACTTCCCATTCAGCAGGCAGCCAACTGATGATTCTCCAGTACTTCGATTCTGTGGCGTGTGACTGTGGGGAGGGAGAGCTGTCCCGTCACGGCAGCACAGTGGCACGTTTGACGTCTCCTGTTAAAGTGAGTGTGAAATAAGAAGTAACACTAAAGAGATTTTAACAGATGTTTTAAGACAGCTGTAAAGAAACTACAAGGCAGAGATGCCTTGCTGTCGTCTTGTTTAGCGTTCATTGTATTCCTATCGCAGTACATAGAGATACTTCACTAGATACGTATGAAGCAGCATAACCTTGCAGTGGCTCGTTTAAACTCAAGTACAGACAGCAACCCAGCCCTGCTTGGGTTTCAATTGAGTTTCTTACCCACAGCAAATTGTTCCTCCAGCTCTGTAGTAGCGCCTTCCTGTAAAACACTGCTGCAGCCTTATCAAGAAAATATGCTAAAATAGGAGTAGACCATCAGAGAGCAAACCCAAACCGGCACACACAGCCCCTCTGAGGTGGGAGGGGCAGCGCTGGTTCAGCACTAAAAGCCATTGTGTTGAATAGTTTAAAAGTTTATTTTATGCTTTACAAGCACTTCTTGCCCATTAGAAATCGGTATCATCTGTGGATCCTTTCCCATCCAGGTCAGCAGTTTGGATCCTGCCTAGCTACGTACATTTGGTTACTATCTAGTGGGAGCTCATTGGCTCATGCAAAGTAAACTGATTGCACAATTCCAGTCACATCCTCCTCCTCCTCCTGTTCTTAGAAGTACACAGAGGCCCACTAGCCAAAAGACATGGAGAACAAGGGACATGCTGCTTTCCAACCCTTTCAACCTGACTGGGAACCAGGGGGAACATGGAATCAGCTAACAAAACCCTACTGCATGGAAACGGGTGGCAGGTCTTGGAAGCACAAAGCTGCCCCTGCCCCAGCAGTGTGGCAGGAGCACCTCCCTGCTCAATAATCTCCACGCTCTTTCATGTTTTCATACAAAAAATTTAATAAATATTACTTTTCAAGATTTATTGCCAGGAACAACACATCAAAGATGCATTTTCATATAACACTAATATCACAATACAAGGTATCTTCATGATCTCAATGGTTAACCACCGAGATGACTATGTTTATAAGCCTTTTGATCTTAAACATCGTAATAGCACTTTGATTTCCTCACTTGTTAAGGCGGGCAGTGTAATCTATGGCAAACCTACACAGTGATCTTACTGGACATTCTACTGTTCAAGTATTCAACAACTAGCTTATTAGAATACTCCCTAAATGCAGTAGATTACAAAAAAAGTCAAATCTACAAGTGGTTCAGTATTACATATTCATGGTGAGAAAAAACAAAGAATTAGAATTTACAAAAGAAGATTGCTGTGTTCCCAACTTCACACGCTAATCGGATACTTTCAGTACATGCAACCACTCACGTTTCCTCTACATAAAGTAATAGCTCAGTTTTGTTCCCTTAAACTGCTTCTTAGCAGATGATCTGCCTGTCACTCGGGTTTCAAGTCTAAAGCAGCAAAACAAAAAGAAAGAATGTTCTAGTCTAACTCTCTAAACTGCCTCAGTCAGTACTTACAAATAGTCTTTAAGTGATACTATGGAAGGTGTGTCAAACGTTGGACATTGTACAAAAACCAGCGTCAAGGCCTGGGAGCCCGTCCTATTAAAAATAACCTATTTTCGAACACCTCAGTTTTGGCATATAGGCAACATGTAACAAGGAAATAAATTCGAAATAGAGAAGCCACAAGCTTACAATGCTATCAAAAACCTTCAACTCTAAACACGTACATATAAATAAAAAGGAATGATATTTTAAGGCTCTTGATTATTAAGTTAATAAATCAAATATACACAGTGATTAATAAAAAAAGAATTATTTACAGATCTATACAAACTTCTATTTTTGACACATTTTCCTCTTTAAATTCTTCATTTACCAGCAACTGCTGACAAGTTCCCCCCACCCCGCCCCCAACAAAAATACAATAAAAAAATAAATAATAAACTTATTTGTGATAGTTGCTGTGGTTCCGAGCTGCAAAGGCACTTTCAAATACAGAACTAGTTGTACGTCAACCATAAAACCAATATACAAAAACCTCAAATTCAATAAATATAAATAAAATGTATTCATTCGCAAGGAACTGTATAAATCTGGCAGGAAAAAGAAAAATAACAAATGAAGAGGAAGGAGGAGTAGTTAAGGCTCTGTGATACCTTGGGAAACGTTTCCGTGATGCATCAGCTGCAGCTGAATTTCCGCGAGGGCACTTTTGACTAGTTTTGCATAGATGTGAAATGCAGCACTTGGTATTCCAGCCAACCACAGCAACTATCATTGCCAGTGTAAGCCAGCTTGTCAAAACTTAAATTAACACAGGGATTCTAAGTAAATAATAGCCTCAGACTCAAATATTACACAACAGTTTAAGAACTACAAGCTCTTGAGTGCCTTTCTAGTGATACTTAAAGGCCCTGCATGGCAGCACCCCACCGTCTGCTATACAATGTACTCCATCCGATTGAGGCTTTGTGCACTTTCCAAGTCTCTGTTGTCCTGTTTGTTTGTCCAGTTCGGGTGTTTGGTGGGGGTGCTGTTGGGGGGCTTTTCATCTCTGTCTACCAAAGTGTACGCTGGCTGCTTGGCAAAGCGGGCCTTCTGCTGGTGTTTGTCCATGTCGTCTTCCTCCACCTCGGAGTTGTGTGTCCTTATTTTGGCGATTTTAGAGTTTTTGTTTTCATAGTCTTTGATGGGGACAGTGTTTGCTCCGTGTTTCTCAATGGGGTTCTTGATCTGGTTGAGCTGCTCCCTCACGTTGTTGGTAGTGTTGTCGTCAGACGCTGTGTGAGTGTGGCTGCTCTGCTTTCGGCGCTTCCGAATGCACCAATAGAAAACAGTCACCAGGCAGCAGATCCAGGCTACTGTCAGCACCGAGCTCAGCAGCGGCACCAAGAAATCTGGAAGAGACAGGACAGCGTTAACCCCACCACAAACCAAGCGCTCCCCGCCAGGCTTCCTGCAAACAAAACACATCTTGGGGTTTAAGCCTTATTTTTCCACTGGGTTCCAGATCTAAGGAGGATCTCCTTTAGAACACACGGCGTTTAAACCAAGTCTGGAACTCAAGAGTGCTGCCTGGTAGACCTCACGGGAAATGTTCTCCTCATACACACAGAGCCAGGCATCACTACATCACCCTGCCACATCTCCCAGGGAACAGCTCCTGCTACAACCATTCCTGTCTCACTGGTGGCTACTGGTAAGGTGCCTGTTATGTGCCTAGCACTGTGTGGGAAGCTAGAAACAGACACCTCTGATAGTGACCAACTGCGACAGGGGGCTTCCAGAGCCAACCAGCTGCTGCTTTCTGCCTTACTGACACGCACAGAGGAGTAGCAGTCCTTTCAACATCAGGCCACTGGGTTAAAGCAGTTTCAGAACTCAGTTTTTGAAGTAGCAAGACTCCAGCACAAAGCCTCCTTACTGTGTTCCCCGTTAGCAGAGCCAGAGGCTGAGGGTCTCAGACTTGCTACAGATCCAAAAGGTGAGGAAAGCTTCCCCTGCTGTGGAAGGCTGCTCTGGCCATGGCACACGCAGAGGGTTTGGAGGAGAAGCTCACCTGTTTTGTTTTTAACTGGTCGCCGCTGTACTCTGACCTCCGCCACTGCCGCGATGAGCGTGTTGTTACCATCGCGCTTACTGACAAGGTCGATGATCTTATCTGTGATGTCTTTGATGGGGTTTTCATCTTCCCCTATATCTTCTGCAGACTACAGAAGAAGCCATACAATTAATACCAAATGCCAGATCAGATGGATGGGTAATCTGCTATTTATAAGCTTTCACAATCACTTACGGCTCTTGGCACTTTGAATACTTCAAAAGCAAACCAGAAACAAACCAAAAGCTGGGGGCAGGAACTAATAATGCAGAATTTCTGTCCCCATCCTTAAAGAGCTAAAGAACTCCCAAAAGCAGCTCTCAAGGGAACGTAACAGAAACATGTTTTTCTACCCCTACTACAGTTGCCACCAGATGTAGCTTTCAGGTATGCACATATAACCAGGATTTCTTCCCTGTTCCTACAGGGAACTGGGATGGAAACTAAACCACAAGAAGAGCTGACAAAGCCAGGAATTAGGATTTTTACGAGATCCACATGTTGCACACATAGCCAAGCAATTAACTACTAAGGCATTTAAAGATATTCCAGGAATACTTACAATAGCAACATGTATTTCATTATTTGCCAAGTGCGAAGGCTCACAGGTAATATAGATGGAATATTCAACAGAAACATTCTTCAGAATATTCAGATTCCTCAATTCACTGCAAATGTGCTCTGTGGTAAGTCCCTGGAGGATGCAAAAGAGGTGGTGGGGGTTTTTATGCACATGAACACACAGATAGTAGATTTATGTTTCTGTTTCTGCCCTGAAGTAAGAGTTCTCAAGGGAAGAGGAGGTAGAATTGCCTCCAAGCCAGCTTTTGCTGTTCTTTTATGTTCTGCTACTTACTGGTGCCATCATTTCTTTATTAAAGGTGAAGGTGATGTTGGCACAGTTGTCTTGGTAGTAAGAATCAGAATTGCATTTGGTCTTCACCGGTTGTTGGTTTGAAGGCCAGCATTCACCCACTGCAGCGCAAGGGTGAGTAAAGCAGTGGTCTTCTCGGACAGGAACACAAGCGTGTCCAGCTGGGCATTCATTATGGCCTTTGGCATGCAGGACACAAGGTCGAGGACCACACCAAACCTGGAAGAGAATAAATGCTGATAAATAACCACTGGTTACAGGACAGACGTGAAGAGTATCCCACCACATTCCTCCATTTTGTCTTCATGTTGTCTGTCATCCTGTTTCGGAGGATTCACAATCCAAACCACAGCACAGCCGTACCTTGGAGCACGTGACCTTTCCATTCAGACACTGACAGGTATTGCAGTCATCCTCCCACTTGGCCCCATCTGGCATCACCCGAACACTGGTAAGGCAAGGCCTTCCTGTGACTGAAGAGAGATGGAACAGGATTATAGACTCAAAATAGGGAAAAAAGTGGAAGAACACCTTTCTAAATTAATCATATCACTAAGTTTACTTACTCAATACAGACACACACTTGCTTGAAAACAGCAAAGAGCACCCCTCACAACCCCCATACAACCACAGACTGTTAACATGCAGTTACAGAGGACTCACTACAAGGACCAGATACGACACCACAAGTACCTTCTTGGCATGCCACACCGCTACGACCCGGTGGGCAAATGCAACGGAAGCCGTTGATTTCATCTACACATGTAGCTCCAAAGGCACAGGGGGAAGACTGGCATTCATTGATATCTGCAGAAGGAAGGAGAGGAAATAAAGGTTACTCTATAATATCCCTTATTTTGTCAGAAAACCATACAAGAGGCTTTCCTGCTGGAGCTTTGTGTTCCTTTTCTAGGTCTGCTTGGCGATCGATGCTTATTCTCAGCACCAGTATAAGCCCAGAGCAACTTCTTTGAAGTTCCTGCTGTGTGGGACTAACGAAGATCAAAACCTGACCCCTATGGCTACTTAAGCTTTTCAAGGGCAAGGACACATTCCTTCTCACACAAACACACTTCCTCTCCTCTGACATGACTCCAGTTTTGCTC